ACATCTTTTCCAATCTTAAAAAGCTTGGAATAAGCAAATGTTCAGCAATGAGGAAGCTGGTTCCACTTGAGCTCCGGCATGCCTTCCAAAACTTGGAGTTGATTATAGTTAGTGGATGCAGACAAATGGAGGAGATAATAGCATCATCAGATTCAGATACATCATCATCGAATAAATTATCTCTCACTTTTCCTAAGTTACAGGAATTGACCTTGGTGGAATTAGACCAATTGAAGAGCATCTGCAGTGACGAAGCAGTTATGGTTTGTGATTCCATTGAGCGAATTGAAATAAGTAACTGTCCGAAGTTAAACAGGATTCCTTTACAGCTTCCTCTGCTTGATAATGGCCAACCATCTCCTCCTCCTCATCTCAGAAAAATCGGGATAAAGCCAAAAGAATGGTGGGAATCAGTGGTTGAGTTGGATCATCCTAACGCTAAGAACATACTCCAACCTTTCTTGGAATTTCATGAATGGGGTAAGGGGTTGATTGATTTATTCTAATTTGAACTTAATTTGTTTAGTTGCTTAAAATTTTTGTCATCTCATCTGAAAGCGGAGTTGTTGACGAATCTTCAATTTTCCAGATATTGATAAATAAGTCACGTGCGAGCCCAATAACACGTGCCAATAAAACCCTTTCTTCCAGTGCTCCACAACGGGAACAAAGGAACAAATGCATCTGACATGGGAAAGCCTTTGTATTGTGGAAGAGATGAGATTGGGATTGAGATTGAGATGCATCCACCCTTCACCCTCTGCTCTACTGTGCTATCTCATAAACTCCAACTATGTAAGTATCCATATTTTGCCTTTGATCATTATTATTTTCGGGTTTTATACTTTCATTCCATTTATATAGAAATTGGATTTTGGGTTTGGGTAGAAACAAAATCGTGGGTGTTGAGATTGGCTAATGTTTGCGGTTGGAATGTTAGTATCTCTTTTTTCATTTGATTTTATTTGGTCTATTGAGATTTCTCAACATCTTGCAAACCAGATTGGTAGTATGGAATCAGTTCCTATAAGATCACTTACTAGATCTCTTGTTGGTTTCAAATTTCTCAACATATTTTAAAGCTCTGCTATTGTTTGTAGGATCTTTTCTCAAGCAAAGGCAACTTCTATCGCCAGAACAGCAAAGCAAAATAAAAAGGGACTCACGCACTGCCAATAGGCTTTGGTTTCATTTATGATAAATTTTTGTTTTTCAATTTATGTCTTTTTTTTTTTAATTTTATTGGATGAACTTGGTTTTGTATCTTTTGGTAATTTGTTTGTATTGTAAGTTGTTACGCATGTTATATTATGGGATTTCTACTCTTGTTTCTTTGGTGCTTGATTGCTTCATATAATGAATCTATTATCAATTTGAAATCTTAAATTGTTGTAATATGTACCTTTCATATCTGGTTTGCTAACTTGACCACTGGAGAACACTTTGCAACACTCCACTGCCTTTTTCCACTTTTGCAGGTTTTTTTCTTTCATTTCATTTACTTTTCTATCATTTGCAATCCTTGATTGTTTTAGTTACTGAAAGGGAAACAAGTTCTGTAGATTGAAGTGAACGGTATAGGGAGTTCCTGTCTAGGAGTTCCTGTCTAGGAATCCATAACAAAAAGGAACTCAGCTCTCACAAATCCTAAGTGGTAAGTTTTTTGACTAAGAATTTTATTGAATTTTCATTAGGGATTTATACTTTTTTTCATTATTGATAAATTGATTTTTGTGTATGTATGCTTGAAATTGAGCCCTTTTGAAATGCATATTTCAGCACAATTGGTAGGCAATTGGCAGGAAGAGATCCAGGCTCCAGTCTCTGATGAACTCCAGGTAGTAAAGTGTCAATTTTGCTGTCTTCATTTTCTATCTCTGTTTGTACTTTGACCCCTCAAAATTAATATTATTCACCTACAATAGTAATAAAATATATGCTTTTCAGGTTCTTAAGCTAAAAGGTTTGTACAAGATAAAGTTTCTGATATAATTAGTATCATTTTCAGGTTTCCTACAAGTGGCTGAGTCGCAATCTTTTGGCGTCATGAACTGTTGCAAGGAGGTGAACATCTTTCCTTTCCAAGAATGTAGTTAAAGTTCACATTCACAAGCCACAAGAATGGAGACACAAACTCTCATAATTGTTGATAAATTCTTTTGCTATCCTAAATGGAATTTTTTGAATTCTATAGCAAAGCAATAATGTGATAATTTCTTCTCTGAATTTCTTGCAGAAGCTAAGCAGGAATTTGATGGCAATAGCTCAGTTTAGGTGTATGGTGTTCAAGAATGCATTGCAAAGTATTGTGAGCTGCACTCTGGAATGTTGAATTTTTCCAGGCTTCAAGAGTTTTCCTGGAGTAGCGTACCTCAAATATTGAAAATTCTTTAAGAGATAACAGGTAGACCTTTTATGGTTATTTAAGTTCAGATTTTGTGAGAATTTGGTTGTTGATTCTGCTTCTGGCTATCTTCTAGCAGAACATTTTTCTTTTGGAGATCACAACTTCCTTTCAAGTTTTTTGCCTCTTGAAGTGCTTATCTTCTCATATATTGTTATTTGCTAATAAAGAAAATTCTATGGTGGTGTTATGAAATGCTTTTATGGCTGCTATTAGAATTATTGGATATTCCTTAACTAATTGTTTAGCTCTTTTGGGGGTGTAGGTTCGATAGCAAACTTCTGTGATTGTGCTTCTGCAAAGTTGAAGTCCAGATGAGCACCAGCTGATGGTCTTAATTTTAGTAAAGATTCTAAAGGTGAAGCCAACAAGAATGGATGGTGGTTTTGGATTTGTCAGGTGTAGATGAGTATAAAGATGTCATCAATTTAGCATCACCCTATCCCCCCAAACAGCTGCCATGTATTGATCCAAAAGTCATCAGCAAAAGCAGAAACAGTTAAAAGTCCTCTCCAACTAAGAATGAAAATCTGCTTTCTGAAACTGGTATGAATCCTCTCCAACTTCAGACAGACGTTAATTTTTGCTTCTTAGTTGAATGAACTGCATTCATTTGGGCTTTACAACTATGAAGTGTTTTTAACAATATTTTTTGCTTTTTCCTGGCCAGTGTACTTGACTGAAGGCTTTGCACTTTTATTTGATATCATTATGCTTATTTTAGATTTTAAGCAATCTAGAGCCTAATAACTGCATCCCTTATAGTTTCATCTTTCAATGCAGGCCTCCTGTTGCCAAGATGTCTCCTGCAGTAGGAAGCGCTACTCCTTGTCTGGGAAGCAAAAGAAAGCAGGGAAAGTAAAGGATTCCAAGCAAGGCAATATCTCATCATTCTTTAAGAGAGTTAATTTGGGCAGAATGAAGTTTCTACTTATTCTTGCCAGCCATCCATCTTCATTGGATCTTCTCCTTTCTTTTGTTGGACATTATATTAAATCTAATTCTACTTCATCTACAATGTGAGGCCTGATTCACTATCTTATATAGTCTATATAAAATCTGGAGGTGACAGCCTTATTCACGCCAACCACCATGGTAAGTTATTTTTTATATTATGTGTGCTACACAAAGGACATGATTCCCAGTTATCATGGTTATTTCAGATGTGTTGTCCCTTTTTCTAGGGGTCGTAAAAGGTGCATTTGGTTTCATATGGTTTCAAGGCATTTGAAATGACTTTTTTGTGTCTTAGTTTTGATCCATTGAAGCTGTTGGACATCTTGAGGAGCAAAAGGTTGATGTCCATAGATTCAGTGCAGAGAACCAATTTGAGGCAATGTCTTGTTTGGTGCAATCCATGACTCCTGAGGAGAAAGAAAATCTTTTCATGGAATTACTGCCATGAAGATCTTCAATGCTGAGGTACCATAAATTTTCTGCCTATTCTGCTTTCCTGTGTTGCTCAAAGTCTTCACTTATTCCTAATAAGTCTACATTTAACATGTGTTAGATGGTTTGAATGCTTAAACACTTGACCTTAGCATTCTGAGCTTTTGAAATGTGTTTTAGGAGTATAATGCATCAACTGAGTACTACTGGGAGCCCTTTGTTGTGGAGTCTAATTCAAACCATGCAAAAATTCACTATCTTGAGGCGGCTGGTGAACCTTGATGCCAAATCCAAAAAGGGCAAGAGCTAGGAAGGAGTTGATGTAAGGGTGTTTGAGAGCTATGTCAGCCTAAGATTGATGCTAGGTAAGTATCTAGTTTTCCATCTAAGGCTTCTAATTCCATCCAATGTTTTTTTTTAGCAGAAATTCTTCTGATTTTTGTGCTGCAAGAGCAAGTTTTTAATTTGAGCATCCACTCTGGAATCCAATAGATTGTTCTGACTTTCTTCACAGGTTTCGGGTTTTTTGGCTTTCAGTTATGGAAACTTGGCAAATTAGTTATCCAACATCAATCCTCTAGTTTAGAGGGTCTTCTTCATGATTATGCCCTCAACAGAACTGTGGTATGTTTCGCTTGCTGTTTTCTATTAAGAAACAAACATCCCAAATCTTGAAATTAAGAAGATGATGATTATAGCTGCAAGTTTCAGGAGCTGGGAATGGAAGCCAGGCAGCCACGAGAAGAGAACTGCTTCTATGAGACATCTAATTTAAGAAGCATCATATACTGGGGAGCTGGATCTAGTCTGGTCATCAAGAGTAGTTCATGACATTTTACAATAACTAAGATCAATTTTCGAGATTAGAATATAAAAAGGATCTTTGAAAACATTGCTGAATATAGAAGCATTGGGGACGAAGAACACCAGATTAGAGACAAGGAAGGAATGTGCAACCTATGGTACAATGGCAACCTCTTTAAGGAGATTCCAATAAGATCAATATTGATGCAGCAATACAACAAGGGCAAGGCATAGCCAGGTTTTGGAGTTGTCCTTGGGAACTGTGACAGCAAAGTTACAGGAGCTGTGCAGAGAACTTGTAGGCTTCAAGGATCAGTTCTTCATGCTGCGGTTATGGCTATTGATTTTGCAATGGGGACGGGCATAGAATTTGGACACAGAAATGGCATCATTGAATCAAATTGTGTTCAAGCCATGCAAGTAGCTATGTCTAACAGTGATTGTTGTCTTCCCTTTGGAGCAATTGTGGAGGAATTTCGAGCTAAGAAATTCCATTTTGTTTCTCTATGTTTCCAGCATTTAAAGGGTAGTGTAACTTGCAAGCGTAAAAGTTGGCTCAGCTACAATCACCTCTCCACCATGGGAGGGTGTTTGTAAATAAGGAATGTAAAATCAAGATGTTTGATATTGTCATACAAAAAAATGAGTAATTTTCATCCTATTCTTTTCAGAAAGAGAGAATTGATATGTTTGGTAGTGGTAACCATATAAGAGAAAAGTGCAAACCAAAAATGCCATGAACAGGTTGCAATGTTTTTACCACTTATGAAAGGGTTCTTTCAATAGACACATCACCCACCATGTTTGTTTATTTATGGTAGAATGATTTTGCCTGCACAAGCATGGAGCCTGGGGTTGAATTCAGTTACATTGAGCGGCAACCCCTTCTACAATTATTTACAAAAGTTCCCATCCAAAGTCACCTTCAGCTTCTGTGCAAATTTTCACACCCCATGGTTGTGGCAGTTGTTGATGGACGAATACTTTGCATAGATTCCTTGTTAGACACCATTTCAGCATCTCCAAACCAATTTGCTACCTGCTGGTGCCCCTTCGTTAAACTCTTTTTTGCAGTTAAACCATCCCAGAACATTTGCTGGTTAAACAGAAGACAAAAACATATCTTATTAATAAGCTGAGGTTATGAATTAGAAAAGATTACATCCCTTATTAAAATTACTCTCTTATGTGGTTATTCTTCTATGTTAGACTTAGTATGCACCTTGCATGATCTGTTTTCCTGAGTGTACGTGAAACATCCCATCCTTGTTTGATTATATTTTAAATAAAAGTCCTTAGTTGGGAGGACTTACTTGAACAACTTAACAGTTATGGGTTTGCATGGCTAAAATCATACATGAAGGTAGTTGGCTGTCATTCCCAACGCCACTACTTTGTGACAAAACAAGTGGATTTAATAGGATCCACTACCAATACCAGCCCCTGGTTTTGAAAGGGTTTAAACCCCATTTTTAAACATTTTCTATTAGTGTCTCACCGTTTTCCTCCTCTTCAGCCGAGTAGAGTAAATGGCAATGGAATTCCCTGCTGAATTAACAGAGAAGGTGGACAGAGAGCTATGCTAGATGAGCAAGCACCAGAGAAGAAGAACAAGAGGAACGGTTCTGCATGTTCAATTTTTGAGCTTGTGGATTAAACAAGAGGAAGGAGAAGATGATAGAGAAGCTGCTGCTGTATAAGAGTTGGAGAACTCGAAGAAATCCTAGGGATTCTACCAGGAATGGTATTGGGCCTTGTGAGGTAAGCATAGATTATGACTCTGGTAGCTGTAATTGAGTTAAAATGATATTTGTCTGGTTAAACATGATCCTAGACTAAAGCTAATGCAAGAAATGGGCTTAATAAAGAACAATGCTTAACATGCAATTGAAGTTATGAATTAGTCTATGGCTAGGCTATAAGTCAGCGCTGGATTAAAGCTGAGACTACATGTTGGACATGTAGATATGGCTTTGGAAAGTTTTATTTGATGCAAGTAACTGTGTTATTCTGCTGTGATTTAATATTGAATTGTCTTGCTATATCTAAAGTACAAGCATGACAGTGCATAGAGTGCTGTTTATATGAGCTAGGTAGAACCCAGTAGTTGGACTGGGAGTATGAAGAGGGATATTTAGATCCATTGTGCAGTAGGAAGAACCATTGGTTGGACCATTGGTATGGTGGGATGTACTCCCACAAGGAAAAATTCATGGATAAGAACTTGCATTCATCTGTATGTTGAACAAGCATAAGGCTGCCTGTTATTATCTTATGTTTATTTATGACACCGATGAAACTGTTCAGTAGTGATGAGCAGTGTTTGATGGAACTGATTCTGTGCTTCCTGAGGTAAAGGAACATATTTTCTGGTTTGTTCTAGAATCGAGACCAAGTAAGCATGTGCTTGGATTGAACTTACTGATTCTAAATTAGATAGTTCTAATATAAAGAATGTGGATTATTTTTGAGATGATGATTTGTCTATGTCTAATTCTTGTATCTTGACATAAGTTTTATGGGGAAGAACAATGTAACTTAATTGATGGAACTTAATAAGTTAAGATTTCAGTTATGGCTCTTAAGTTATAACCTATGCTTATTAGGCTTCATAGCTCATGGTGTATTGTTCACCCTGTTTCTGGTTAGCTAGTGACAACAATTTTTGGGAGACTGAGAGTTTCCTATGATTGCTGGTAGTGAACAAGCTTTTCAGGCTTGTTGAGGTAACTTGTATCTGCCCAAAACTGAATCCTGGCTCAATGTTTTGTAAAAGAACTTTGCATTATTAGAATATGTTTTGTTTACCAAATGGGGCATCAAGTGATTAAGAGCTGAGTTTTAATCTAGTTTATTATGATAGAATTTACTGTATAAATAAAAGTTACAACTCAACGTGGCCCTTTTGGCTAAGGTTGCAAGTCTGGGATGTAACAGTACGGGGGACAGCATGAAGTGTAGTATTATACACATAGACATAGCTATCCTGAAGCTTTGCATTGTCACAGAAGGCAATGGTTTCCATGGAAGAAATACTAACCACATCATTGGAGTCATCTGATGGCCTTGCAGAAAATTTTAAAAACAGTTAAACTTCAAAATATCCAAAATATACATTAGTATAGACATAGGGGAATATTTTATGCCATAAAGCCTTAGTCAGATAGTTGCATGTTGAATAAGCTAGAGTTATCAATGCCAAATACCTAAAAAAAGGAGAGGAAAGAAGAATTAACCAAAGGACAAGATAAAAGATAAGAGGGTAAACTGCGGTTTACAGAGGAGAGAACAATATCTCCTCCTAAATGTAATCCGAACTTCCCCGTTAAATAAGTAAAATTATCTCATGCATGCACTAAATGACACATATATCTTGCAATTTCACTTCTAGTATAGTGGTCGAGTGGCCATTGAGTTGCTTATTTTGTCCCCTAAGCTTGATGGAAAACTAACGATTTATTACAAAAGAAGTCATAAGTCAAAACACAGGATATATGAGTTTAAAATGCACACAACACAGACAGACTAGTACTGAGCTGGGACAATAACACTGATGGAACCACAATACATGTGAAATGAAAATCAATTATGAAGGAAAACAAGAGTGTTTCCTTTACATTTGAGTCTTAATACTTACCAATTAATTCTGACGACAAGACACTGGAAAACAATCCAGTCTCCGATGCCTTCTCCCCAGATAAAGTTGCACTTGACAGGGAAGATGGAAGAACAGTGTGAGAGACAAAACCGTCCAAATCAACACTGCTATGATAAGATCTCTTGCAGGTGAGTTTTCACTTGAACCCTCGAGCAAAAAGGATCCACTTAATGGGAACTTGCTTGAAAAATCGACGGTATCTACTACGTTTTTCTCAGAAGATACAACTGAACATGAAATTTCAGTGGATCTAAGAGCACTTGAATCAATTAAGTCGAATGACCCGACACTGGTGGAGGAAGTTGAGGTCTCTGATACCTTGTTCTTCTGGGGCAAGATTCTGGTTGATGGTGAAGGTGGTAGCGTCATAAGAGCAAAAAACCGAGCCAAATCATCAGGGCTATGCAAAGAGACAGTATCAGATGAGTTTTCATTTGAATTCTCAACCAAAAAGGATTCCCCTGAGGACATGCTAGCTCTTACAATTAACTAAGTCTACTATGCTTTTCTCAGAGGATATCATTGAACTTGTCATTTCACTGGACTTAAGAGCACTTGAAGAAACAGAGACACACTTCAAGTCACCTGCAAAACTATTAGGGAAAGTTATTACATTGTCATTCGATTGAAACTCCTCTCTAGGAGCTGAAGCTGCAACAGTAATGCCATCAGGAAACTAATCTGAAACTTTATCATCCCATCAGCAAACTCACTCTGCAATGAATCTCCAAAATAGTCTTCCTTTCCAAGAGAGATTAACTCTGAAACCTGATAAAAACACGAATTCTCCGTTAGAGTGCTTTCTTCATACTTAAGATTAGGGTTGCTATTTGTCAATGCAGCAACAGGTTGTCTTGGAGTTTGGTTAGAATCTGCACCCTCAAAGGGATCCATATTAGGAAGAGCATTCATTTATTCTAAAAGATGAAACCAATTTAATACAGCATCATGCTTTTTCTTCAAGGGGTGAACTTCACTGGGCTCAACATGTGATTGCTCATCCTCTTTGTCTTCATGACTTTCATCAATATCAGTCTCCGATTCAAATAGGCAATAAATGTCAGAATTTCTTTCGAGAGACTTCTCTTGAACAACATGTCCAATAGGATCCATTGAAGGGAGAAAAGCCTGCCTTACGAGTATAATAGAAAATCAATATATAACTGGTTCACTATATTATCCAACCTATTGCACACCTTCTCAAACTTATGGTAAAAGTTCTTTATCCATGATGTACCTTTAAGTTTTAAATTCATTATCAATATCTATCAGGTGATTGGAGCTACTGTTTCACACACCTTACTTTTTGGAAATTTTGCAATTCTTAAAAAATTTTTAAAGGGTTCAATCACCTTGCTTCCCAGGAGCTCACTTCTGAAAATCATTAAATTTTTTTTTTTTTTTTTCCCAGGGAAACTTCCTTGAGCCCGGAAAAGTTTCCCTTTTTTTTCTCAGAAAGGAAAATTTCATAATTCATATCACTTATTTATATGAACACCCGCACATACACAATTATACATTCATGAATATATATATACATATACATACATTTACGAGATAGAGGTAAGTAGAGTAAAAAATTTGAAATTTTTGCAAAATGATCTATAGTTTCTTTAGCATAGAAAAGGATATTACATCCATTGATGACACAACTACAAACATACACATACAATTAGAAACACTGAACAAACTGAGCGGAATTCCCTCAAAAGTCTAAATAACTGAAAAAAAATATATCCTAGAAGGTAAGAGGATTACCACAACCAGAGGCCAGCCGGTGATGACAAAATCTGAAGCTGAAATTAAATTTAAGAGGCAAAAATGAAGCTGAAATATTAATATCATTTTTTTTAATTACAGTTAAGGTGTTTTTAGTTAAATTAATTTCTTTAAATATTAAATTTAAGATTTAAATTTTAAATTTAATCTATATTTAATTTATAAGATAAAATCTGCAGTAGATCCAATCTTGAAATTTGAAATATTATGACCAATTTGGGTGATTACTCCTTATTTGGTTGTTGACTATGATCTCTATTTTTCAACCTCCCTCGTTAACAATTTGTTTTTAAGAAAATGATTTAAAGATTATTATTTTATATTATTTTTTTATAATTTTATATATTATTTAATTAATTAATTTTTTATTTATTTAAAATTTATAATATTAAATTTGTTTATTTATTTATTTATAAATAAATACTATATAAAATATTATCTATATATCACTATTTTATTTTTACGAAAAAAAAAACTTTTCATTAACTATCAATAAAGTACATCTAGAGATATGTGGAACTATACTACAGCCTACAAATCTGAGTAGAAATTTTTTTAAAAAAAATTTTAGGATAAAATTCAAACTTCACGTCGCTGAATTAGTATACAAAATTCCAATAAAAAAGGTGGCAATTAGGGAGGTTCACCGTATGTGATTTGATTCAGATTTTATTATTTTTTAAATTAATTTAATTTAATTAATTAATTAAATTTTTAAATCAATTCAATTTATTATTATGTGATAATCAAATTAATTTAATTTAAATCGGATCGTATGGTTCGGTCGAATTGATCAATTTTTAACATTATTAAATATATAAAATAATGTAAAAATATTTAACATCAAATAAAAAGTATAATTATAAAATACATTAACATTCAAATCAGTAAAAATATAATAATAGGTAAAAATTATAAACAAATTCTTATACTCCTTTACATTTGTAAAAATTAAAAAGCTCTGAAAATTCTTCTTGGTTACATCACTAGAGGCACCAAAAACAATAAAAAAAAACTCTAAATTTCTAGCACAATATAAATAATTCTTGAAAATTAAAATTAGTTTTTTTTTCCTAATGCACTAATAATTTAATTCCATTTTCTAAATCATATTAAAAATGAATAACATTTAACATGAATATTACTAAAATTAATTAGAAATATCCATAATCAAAATTTAAAACTTCTAAACCAAATATCCAACAATAGTAGAATATTAAGACTAATTTTATTATATAGTTTTAAGGCTTTTAGAATTATGTTTATTTAAAATTTAGTTAGGAGAATCATAAGATTATTTTAAAAATAAAATAAAAATTTAAGGTTCTATGAGTAAAGACGCAAACCTATTCTGAAATGATAGAGTTGCAAGTGAATTAAAAATTTAGAATTAAGGTTAGAGTGCATGATTAAAATGGAGAAATAACTTGAGAAATATTGAGATTTTTTATTTTTATTTTTTAATTAAATTAATGGAGTTATAATCTTGTAAAATAAGAAAAAGAATTTTAAATACTACAAAAAAATATGTTATATTATTTAATTAAACTATATTCTAATAAGATTTTATTTTATAATCGAACAATTCGAACGGTTTGAAAGTAAAATCATAAACCAAACTAATTATATTGGTTTTAAAATTTTAGAATTCCAACTAATCTAATTTTATATCGGTTTGGATCGATTTTTTATAGGATTGGATCAATTTAAATCGAATTAATCGGATTGGATTAAATATAAACACCATGTGGCAACTAAACCAAAAAGACATTCTCAAATCTGCGTAGATTTAGCTGAGGAACAACTCAAGATATTATATAAGCTCAAAATCTAAATTAATATATTAATTGGTGACGTGAGCCCAAAACTAAACATTTAAATTAATATATTACTTAGTGAAGGAAGCCGCCCGCCAAAACTAACTCCCCCTTTTACTCCTACCTCCCAAATTAACGAACTCATTTTTAGGAAGTAGATCACATTTGCATTCTATTTGGATTGGGAAAATTAGAGAGGAAGGAGAGGAGAGTGAAGAGAAAAAATTACCTTTAATTGCTTAGATAAATAATTTTAATAAGAGAGAGAGATGAAGGGAAACAAACCTCCCTTCCTTATTTTATTTTCAATTTTTTTGATTTAGAGGAATTAGATCGGATTACATTATTTAATTTATTTTTATTTTTAATTTTTTAAATAAATATATGTAAATATTTCATTTCAACTATTTATTTAATTAATAAATTTTAAAAATTTTATTATTGTTTATTTTATTTTTCATTAAATTATTTAATTAAATAAAAATATTATCCTTTTCACTCTTTTATTTTTGTCTATCCAAAAAAAAAACTACTATCAATATGTTCCTTCCCTTCACTTCTCCCCACTTCCTTCCCCTCCCCTCCCCCCTTTTTTCCCTTACTAATTTTTATCCAAATATAGCCTTAAACTCCAAAATTCCTGACCTTTTTTGTCAAACATCTCCAAAGAATCCTATGAGCAACCAAATACTGCATCGAAAGAGACCAACCCTAATCTACTGCCTTTCGTGGTGGAGATTGCTGCCGTCCGCCACCAATCCCCCACCACTATCCGTCTCATCACCACCATTCCAACCCGATCCAATAACGGCCACAACCTCTACCTACCCCAAACAAGAACAACCCCTCCGAGAAAATGAGGCCGATAGATGTAAAGGAAGCAAACCATGATCGACAGTTATATCACCGCGAGAAACACAACTCCCAAAAGGGGAAGAGGAGGCGCTTATAATATCTCCATTTTTATTAAGGCGTAATTTGAAGAAAACATATCCTGACATTTAATCACAGCTATAGGATGCCTAGAATATAATGCAAATTATACCTAATCTCAACAATAATGTAAATAAGATTAGAAATTTAGATATTTTTAATATCAAAAGGTAGTAATTTTACTTTTCTGTATCTATAGATCATATTCTAAGGAATTAATCCCTATGTTTAACGTTACCTAAGCTATTTTGGGCTTAAAATAATTTTTGGGATCTTTGTGCCCCTACTTCTATATTAATATGCATTATCCGTTGAGAATTTAATACATTGACCTCTCCTGAGTCCTGAGGAATGAACTTTAGTAGTATTTGGGGAAATCCTATAGTTCAAAAGGCCCAATTTTGCAACCCAAAAGGTTTCTCACCAACCGTCTTGGATTAAAAATGGTGAACTCTTAGTTTGAACCACTTGTACCCTACCATAAACAAAAAATAAATAAATAAATAAATAAATAATAAAGAAGAAAAAACCCCTAATCTCTTCATGCCTTTAAACAACGTTTTTAAAAGAATATATAATTATCGTTAATTAATGAGTTTGTTTTATTTATCTTTAATAATATATTTAGTTTAAAAAAATAAAAAGAAAAGAATTTTTTTATTAATCAATAATACTCCAATGCTTGAAGGCATTGTAATTTAAATAATAAAAAAATCCTCCCTCTTTTTCTTTTTTCTCAACTCAAACATATCTTAAATAAAAAAAAACTCAATTATAACATAACACATTTCATATAATAAATTTACTAAATATCTTATGATATTATAATCATCATTTTCTATAAAAAAAAAACCCTTAATTAATTAGAATAAGTCAGCCAAAAAAAAAAAAGAATAAAAGTCAAAAGTCAAAAGCTATAAAAAGAATATGTCACAAAGTACAAAATTTAAAGTCGTACAATTGTCAGTTCCACCGACAGGTAGCAGGAAGCCTCCATTTCTGCCCCCCTCCATTCTTCAGTGTCTGGAATGGGTATCTTCCCTGTCATATTGGGGTTTGGTCGTCTCCTCTCATGCTCACCAACAGCAATGCAGAGACAGGAAAACGAGGAAAGAAAGAAAAAAAAAAAAAAGGGAAGAAGAAGATAGTTATGATAGTTACGACAATAATGGCGAGGGATATATTCCCCAAAATAAAACTAGAAATATCCCCAAATGCGAACACTACATGTACAGAACAATAAAGATCCTTAAATCTTAATAATCCAACATACTTTACCACAGAAGGAGGGGGAGTCAGATAAATATTCCCTAAGCCAACTTTGATGAGATAAGTCTATAAAGCAAACTGAAATACAAAGGATTTGATTCCAGTTGTAATCCATATTACTGCAACTTTCTTCATAAAA